CCTCCCAAGGTACCGGCTAGAAGACAAGTCCCCCTACGCCCGCCCCCTCAAACGCGCCAACGCCAACCCGCGCTACTCTGACCTGACCTCCGACTCCGACCTTCTCCAGGACCACTGGGGGTCATCGCAGGGGTCACAGGGGTCACAGCCGGCCAGTGACCGAGTGCTGGACATGAACCTCAGCCCTGCGCAGTGGAAACTGAGATACCCTGGTGGGTCTGTGGGCGTGAACAATTTACGATCGTCAACCCTGTCCGTACATCGTGTTTTACTACCGTATCCATACGACGGGGGGAACTCTAGTTTTGAGAAATCTGACATAAAAAATTTTGAGTTTCACAACATGTAAGGCCTAGATCCACCCATATGCAATTCTATTCTTTGAAAATCTTCATAACGACTCCGAATAATCTTACGATTTTGATAGAGCACCCAGGACGTTTGGTTCTTGATCTCATGGTCTTTGTAACTCAAAACAGCCAAAAATGTATGTCAGATAACACTTTGTAATTTTAAGGTAGGGAATTGTGGGTGGTTGGCTGGTGCTCTGGTGTGGTTTGCTTCTTCTTTCCTATCAAACACATATGTCTTCCTTTTCTCCCCTTCTTCTTTTTTATGTTTGTTACTCTCTTGTAACACTTCTAATCTTCTGGCGCTCATATGACCTTATGCAGTTGCTTGCGCCGTAAAACCTCTACTAAAACTGAAGGGAATTGTTGACAATTGCTGAGAATCCTGTGTATGCAGATTACCAGTCAGTGACCCTGAAGACTTTGTCTACCCTGGACATGGACAAGATAAACTACGACCTGCTGGTGGCACTGTTGGAGTACATCGCGACAGGGAACCATGAGGTGGGTGCCAACACACTCACTAACACACTCATAAACACACTCATAAACACACTCATTAAAAAAACTCACTTGTTCCCTCGTACGTCCACACACTCACACTTGCTCATGCAGACACACACACACACACACACACACACACACACACACACACACACACACACACACACACACACACACACTACATACGCACATACACATTCACAAATTTTAAACAACACACACACACACACATAAAACACAGACACAAATACACACTCACATACATACCCATTTACACACATATAAATACCACGTACAGCTGCATACATGACGTATACACACGTACACTCTCTCACATAAGCATATACCCACATAATATATAGTTTAACACTGTACTATATATACCCCAGTAAAACACATACGGAATGTATTATGAACACACATGTACACTCTTATTGTTTATACATACAATAGACTTTTGACACTTCGCTTCGTTTGTTTGAGTAAATAGAAGCACATTAACACAATAAAGGGTCATTCGATGGGAGGAAAAAAAGGAGGAGAGATAGAAATAACGCTGTGACAGAGAAGAAGCAGGAGAGATAGAAATAACGTTCTGACAGAGAAAAAACATGACGGCATACCAGATGTGCTACCTCATGTCCCATTCGTGTGGAGAGGGGAGAAAAGGTGTGTAGGTGTGTGTGTGTGTGTGTGTGTGTGTGTGTATGTGTGTGTGTGTCTGTGTGTGTCTGTTTGTTTGTGTGTGTTTGGGTGAGTGTGTGTGTGGA